TGAAATTGAAAAAAATAAGTATAGAAAAATTGAGAACCAAAGTGCTGAAAAAATGACATAAATAATGATTTGTGAGTATGCGAATAGTATTTCAAATAAGAAAAATGAATAATAAAATAATGTTTTAGTTTAGTTTTTTTATAGTAATATTTTGTTTTATTTTTAACGGAATTTGATGAAAGAATAAAAAGTTTTATACAAATGCAAATCCTTAACAAAACATTGATGGGTAGAATCTATAAAAAGTTTTATACAAATACAAAATCCTTGAAAAAGACAAAACTTGCAAATTGACCCAACCCAAGGGGTTAGAAGAGAAAAAAGAGACCCCTGCATTTGCTCCTGGCCAACCGGATGCGGACCCTTCGGCTTTCCACCAAATACTAAAGCCAGATTTTGTGAGAGAGACGAGGACGATGATGATGGCGATGACTCGAGCACATGTTTTGCTTACTAAAAATTCAATATTTTGTCTTCAAAAGAAAATGGGTATTATGGGCTTCTTCTTTCCATCTTCTCACGTACATTTCTACTTATCAGAAAGGAGCAGTAAGGTCTTGTTTGGTAAGAATGATTCTGCCCTAGCTTCTTTCAACGCCATGCTTCGTAGGAAACCTCCCCCTTCTATTGTTGAATTTGTTAATTTGTTATCTTCAATTGTTAGAATGGGACATTATTATGAGACTCTGGTTTCTTTATCCAAACAAATGGAACTTGCTGGAATCACTCATGATGTTTGTAGTCTTAGCATTTTGATCAATTTCTTCTTCCATTTACATCGTGTGGGTTGTGGGTTCTCTGTCTTGGCAAAATCCTTAAACTTGATTTTGAGCCTGATGCCGTAACATTTAATACCTTAGTTAAAAATGGTTCATGCTGTGAAATTTGTTGATGATATGGTGGTGAGAGGATGTCTGCTTAGTGCACAAACTTATAATGTGATAATCAAGTGTCTTTGTAAAACTGGCAGAATCAATGATGCAGTCGTATTTCTTTAAGGAAATAGAAAACAAAGTAGGTTGTGTACCAAATTTTGTTACCTACGATTCAGTGATAGAGATGGATATTGTTCCCAAGGGAAAACGGATGAAGCTACAAGGTTATTTGATATGATGGTCACCAGGGGCTGTACACCTAGTGTTTATAGCTACAACATCATGATTAAAGGATATTGTAAGGTTAAAAGGATAACGAAGCAATGCAACTTATTTGATGAAATGTCTCATAAAGGTTTAGTTCCAGATATAGTTATTTACAATTCTTTGATAATGGGCTTGCGTCAAGCAGGGAGACCTATGGAGACACAAGGGCATTTTAGAGACGTTTGTGCTTGTGGCTACACTCCGTGTTTAACAAGTTACTCAGCTTTGCTTGATTGCTATTTCATCAACAAGGGAATATTGATGAGGCATTGGCACGATTTAAAGAGATTCAAAGAAGTGTTTTAAAGCCTGACTTGGTAAACCTACAACGTCCTTATTGATGGTATGTTCAAGTCTGGGAAACTTCAAGATGCAAAGGCACTGTTTCCTAGACTTCGTATTCAAGGGTTTAAGCCTGATGTTTATACATACAATAAGTTAACTGGTGGACTTTGCTGGGAATGATTTCTAATTAAAGCACATGAGATTTTAAAAAAAAATAGAAGAGGAAGGCTGCACACCTGAAGTTGCAATTATAATGTCCTTATCCCTGCATTTCTTCAACACAAGGATAGATCCACAGCAGTTAATCTTATTAATGAGAAGGAGTCGAGGATTTCCCACAGATGCTGCCACCAGAACCTTGCTGGTAGGTCTGCTCTCTAATGATGAGAGTCCTGCTCAAAAAATTTACTTGGGGCTTTTCGAAGCTTATCAAGATGTGAAGGTGAGCTGAACTATGAAAACTTGATGCTGTTTTGATTACTGCGGCAAATTAATTGTAGATTCTATTGCTATTGTGACCAGTTTTGTCTTTTTATCACATTTGATTTATTAATACAATTTTGCATAAGTCCATTATTATAATTCGTTTGTTTGTTTGTTTTCAATTGGCTGTGCATAGTCTCATGACTGCTAAACTTAAGACGTTGTGTAAATTGTTGCAAAAGAAAAATAGCAACTGTCATTTAATTGGAATCTGCTAGCATTATTCATTTTCTGATTCTTGGTTGGAGTAACAAAACAACTGTCACTTTCAAATGCCTGCATGAGGTAATCGTCATATCTAGCAGTACTTTCTATTGCAATGTGTAATTGCTTCTCTCTTCCCATTAGCAAGTAATTTGGCGCCCTGATAGAAATATAGCAATGATTTTGTGTTTCCTATATTTGAAGAATTAAGTGTCCAGGTGTGTTTCCACGAGCTTTGAAATGGAAGTAAATGGTGCGGCTGCCAAATTTGGCAGGAGGTTCCAACAACACTCATACCCTGAGCATATGTGCAAGCTACAGAATTCACATCTTTCACTGATTGCTTTCATGGGAGGACAATGGGTGCACGTGCTTTGACAAGCAAAGAATGCTATAGAACACCTTTTGCACCTGTTGTGCCTGGAGTTATTTTTGTAGAGTAAGGAAACATAGAAGGCTACAAGAGAATCATTTCAACATGGGAAAACAGCTGCAGCTTTTGTGGACCCCATCCAAGCTGAGAGGCATATACATGTTAAGTTGTGGAGACTGATGTGGATGAAAGCTCGTAATATAAGACGCTATACAGATTCAGCATTGCGGTCTTGCTAGCCGGTTAGTGAGCAGAGGTCAAAAGGGCAGCATCCCTTGTGGAGGCTTGAGGGCAAAGCCTTCGAAAGGTCTATAGAATATTAGGTCAAATATATAGGCCCATTAGGCCTTTTTTTCTTATAACCATAGTTGTCAACGCTATAAATAGAGACAATATCACTTGTATTTTTAACCGTCACTTGACAAAACCAAATAAGAAATCCTAGTGCAGCCGTAAAGTAGGCATCATTGCTGAACAACGTAAAATCCTTGTGTTGTATAATTGTTCTTGTCTCTTATTTTATTCTTTTACTTGATTTGTTTACTAAGAATACAGTGCAAGAAAGGATTATTATTATCATTATTATTTTTGGGTTCCTTTTAGAATTACGGCAGGCTGCTTGTTATGATGTGGAGTCTCTTCTGATCTTATATGAGGTAATCAACAATTGATATGAATCTATATAAGCGTTTCTAAATAAGAGAAACTAAACATTGTATTTTATGGCCAATGTTGATTATTTTGAAATTGGAAATTGCATTTTAGCATGTTTATGCAGTGATGCAGACATATCTTACACACATACCGCTTGGTTTTCCATTAAAATTGTTCTATATCTGAATATACTCTGGAAGTGCCAATTTTTTGTTGAACTTGGATGCTGATGATCACAGTATAGGATCTGCTAGTTTTTTTTTATTATTTTTTTCCTCCAAACTTAAAAACCAAAGGCTTTAAAGAAGGAAAGAAAGCCATGGAAGTACATCTGCTGGTGGTTTCCCTTGTTTGTCATGCAGAATTTCTGCCTGAAGAAAATCTCAAAATTGGAATTTAGCTAGTGTGTATAAGAAAGGGCTGCAGTTCAAAATAATTTGTGGCAAAAGCATAGTGGAGAAGAAATTTGATCCTGCAGGCTTCAGCTACTGGTTAAATTCTTCATTCTTGTAGTAGGATCAAGTTATGGTGCGACTTTTGTTCAATCAGAATGCTATTTTTGTTATAGAAGAAAACTGTATTTAGTAGGCTGTATTGAGAGTATGAGTTGGACTAGTATGGGAGCAGATTATGACTCCACATGGAATGGAAGGTTCAACTACTTTAGCAGTGTAAAAGAATATTATTCTTGTTTTTGTTAATGCACAGGTATTTTATAATAGGAGAAGGGAAAGCAATTAATGAGCATGTTCTCAGCTGCTATTTCCTAACCTTGCATGAATTTTCTCTTCTTCATCTTTCTTTCTCTCTACGCTACCCCCACTGAAATGAAATGAAATGAAAAAAAAAGAAAAAAAAAGGGTACCTTTTTGTGGATGGTATTATCATGTGTATTTTAAAAACCTTTAGAATTGAATCTCCTAAAGCGAGCATGCATTAATGAATCACATTATAACTTGAACCTTCTAAAGTGATAATTGATCTTTACAAACCATAATAATGGGGAAATAAGAAGAAAGTAAGCCTTAAAGGCAAGTTCCTCTCAGTATGCAACACTTGTCTTCATTTGTCCCCCGTTTAGAACCTTCCGCCAAAGGAACCTGACCCCTCTTTGTTATTCACATCAACCAAATTAGTGGTGGATTTGATCCCTCCACTTTCTGTTTTATCTTAGTTTGATCGCCTTACTTTCATTTGTCTTAATATCATCCTCTTACACTTCTATTTTGTAGTCGTTTGGTCCTTCTGTCATAGCAGCCTTAAATCCCAGTGTTAATTGTCACGTTTCGTTTAAAAATTGATGCCGTGTGGTATCTGTCGTCTATTGCCAACATACTAGGATTTAACTCCTACAATGACAGAGGACGAAATAATTATAATTTTAGAGAGTTGGAAACAAGAATAAGACGAAGGGATCAAAATAAGGAAAAAAATGAGGGTAGAGGGACCAAATATGATATTAACCCCTTCACGTGACCCGTACCGTATTTTGCCACTTGCCACCAATTTCAAACTCGAAACACAGAACACACACGCAATATAAATCTTCTCTGTTTCTCTAATTAATTACTGATTGAAAAATCAGATTTCAAACACAAAAATTAGTAGATTTTAGAAGATCCCTTTCTTAAGATTCACTAATCACCCTTCTATTATTGCTCATCTCTCTCTAAACTTCTCGTCTTTCTCTCCCTACCTTGACCATTCAACTGTTACATCTCAACAAAATCTCTATAAAGTTCTTATCTTTCTTGTTTTTCAAATATCTTGGGTCTTGATTTTTGAAGGGTGTAATTGTAGGTTAGTTTTTGGTTTGCTTTTTTTTTTTTTACCTTTTGTTTTTAGTTTTGATGGTGGTGATGGCAAACAAGATTGAGACAGCACATCAAATGTACAGAGATGGGAACTACGAGGAAGCACTTGGATTTTACACAGAAGCACTTTCCATGGCTAAAACTAAGCCACAAAAGATTGCTTTGCATAGTAACAGAGCTGCTTGTTATTTGAAATTGCATGACTTCAAAAAGGTATTGACTATCTTTTTTAATAACTTTTAAACAAAGGGTTGTTGTAATTTTTTGGAAAGGAAGTGATTTGTGATGTAAAGTTCGGATTTTTAGATTCTGGGTTTTGATGGGTTGGTTTTATTTTTGATGCCTGAAAGTGTTTTGCACTGTGGAGATTCGACTTTTTGGTTCTGGGTTTTGATTGTTTACCACCGAAGTTTGATGTAAATAGCTATCTTTATTATAGATATTTTTTAACTAAGCTTTTGTGAATTAGGTGGGGAGATTTTTCTAAGTGTTTTTGTGATTTTCTGAGACTAAATTTGATCTGGAATGACCTTTAACATGTCTAACAGATGTAAAATGCATAGTTTCTGCCAAATTTGCTGTACTTCTTGTCGGTATTGGAATTGAATTTATTGGTGAAATGGGAAAGAAAGGAGGAAAATTGTGTGTTGATGAGGATAGGGAGAACTTAATTATGATAATTTTTTTCCCAATGGAATAGAATGTTTTAGCAGTGGTTAGAAGTATGAATATGGAAGATTGGAAACGGATTTTCATTCTGATGTATGGAAGTGCTTCTTTGAAACTTGCTTGTTGATGAATATTAATCAACATCACTGTTGTTTGATGATTTTATCGTAGGCAGCTGAAGAATGCTCATCAGTGCTTGAGCTTGATCACAAGCACACTGGAGCATTGATGTTGCGGGCACAGACACTAGTCACCCTTAAGGAGTACACCTCGGCACTCTTTGATGTCAATAGGCTAATGGAGCTGAATCCTACATCAGAAATTTATCAGAATCTTGAAGCTCGTCTGAGGACACAATTGGTATACCTTCCCCTCTCTCTCTTCTTTTTTCGAAATATTATCTTTTTCTCCAATATAATTTAGGATATAAAGTAGACATGTGCATTACCAATGGGAAGAACATGATGCCCAGTAATGTACTGTCATATTGTGCTGAATTTTACTTACAATCTGCAATACATGTAGTCATTTTCCTTATAGTCATAACCTCTGTTTTTACTCTAGATTGATTATCCTTTTGTCATGGGACCTTTCCTTGAACTACTTATGGGCAATATTTTGGTCATTGTAGCTTGTTATAGAGAGATGCCACCTTGGTCTGACATGACAAATAGGGGGTCCAAGTTTCCTATAGTTTTTGGTGCTTGTGTGAGGATGCTAAACTTGTGCTCTATAAGAGTTGACATTGGGGAGCTGTTTGAGAATTTCAAGTTGGGCGTGCTTGTAGGCAAACCTATTTTGCCATTTTTTTTGAAGCTATGCATTTGGAAGGCCAAAGAAGAAACAGCTTCTTTGGGCTCATTACATAGCGATGGTTAGGATACTTTATGACCAAATTCCTAATTGTTATTTTTTGTGGAAATTGTACTGAGACTAATCTGTATCTTTTGTGGCAAAGATTATGATTTTTTAGATATTAATTCTGTGAGTTAAGAAATTATTATTATTTTTTTCTTTTGCTCAAGGAAAGTCACTTGCTACAATACCTGAATCTGAAGTGGAGTTAGAAGAAGAGGAAGAAGATGAAAATGAAGCAGAACTGTTTAGACATGAGGAAAAGCAAGATGCAGCTACTGCGCTAGTAGACACAAATAGCAAAAATGAGCCTTCTCGGACAACGAATGATGCTGAAGTTATTGTCCCTAAAGCACCAGACATCAAGGAAATTTATGCGGAAAGCACAGATAAAAAATCTGAACCAAGAAAGACTATTGCTGCTGAGGTTATTGCTCAAGCTAGGAAGAAAGTTGAGCCTAGAAAAACAATTACTGCTGAAGTTATTGCTCAAGCACAGCGGAAAGCTGAGCCTAGAAAGACTGCTTCTGCTGAAGTTAATACAAGGACCAAAGAATCATCTAAACAGAATTCTAATGGATGGCAAGCAATCCCAAAACCAAAGGGACACTCAACTCTGGATTATGCACGTTGGGATAAAGTTGAGGATGACTCAAGTGAAGACGACGACGACGACGAGGAAGAGTGTCAGCCTCAATATCGGTTCTGTGTAAGAACAGTTGGTGTGCGATCAGTGAAGTGAAATGGGAAATACCCAGCACTGACATAAATGTCAGCTCTAACTAACATCAGACCACAGTGAGAAGTCAAGATATGGAACTGGAGAGTGGCAGATGCAGAAGCTCAGTTGGCTCTAGCATGTCAAAACTTTGAAAATCAGAGAATGCATCTTTTACATGCATTTAAGCTTGGTAACAGTTGAAATATGACAGTTGCTTAAGCGATGGAAAGGAGATCTTGTATTTGTTGAGCAGGTTTCCCTGTTTTAACTTTGGCTTTGTAATGCTTATACTAGACATTGCTAAATGATCAAGTGAAGAAGTTGATGGAGCCGGTGTGGTTACATTGACTGGGTCCTGCTTTGCAGTTGGGTAATTATCGTTGGTCATTTACTTTGCACGGAAATTCCCAGCCCTATTTCAAGCCAGCAAGGATGAAGGGGCAAGGAGGGAACCGAAAATTTGTAGAACTATATTTGTTATTAGGGTAGCAATTTGTAACCTTTAACTTTCTCTCCGAGAACATAATATTTGATACTTTCTAGGAGAGTATTTTTTTCATAATATATTGAGGTAAGAAAGTACATATTTATAAACAGAGAAAAAGTGTCATTTGCATCATAAGGAAAGATTCATATAAAATTTCTAAATCATACAGCCAGTTAGTATTTAGAGAATTAATCTCAAATATTTAGGAGACTAATGATCTACTTTCTAAATAAAATAATTTCTAGATAATTGAATAATACAAAATCTTTTTACACTTTCGCTTAGGTAGGGGTATATGTGTTGTATGTGGATCATTTCCAGCTTACTTAGTATTCAAAGATTGGTTTATGCAAACTTTTAGTTAGAATATTAATTGTTTGCTTTTTAGTAGGAATATAAATCATGCCCACATTTTCATTGTCAATCTTCTCCTTGATGAAGGATCAATCAATCTTTATACGTTTTGAAGTATCTATCAATCTTTATATGTTTTGTTCAATCATTATGGATTGAATTTTGAGCTATATTTACTACTATTCTGTTGTCACAATACGACTTCATGAGAAAACTATTAGACATCTTCGAGTTCACTAAGCAATCTCTCTAACCATATTCCTTTACAAATACCTTGAGGTCAAACTCAAAACTCGAGCTTATACACTCGCTTTTAGCAATCACGAGGTTACTTTTTACTCTTCCAAGTTAAAAGATTACCCCAAACATATGTGTAATAACTAGAAGTTTCTCTTTTATCAAAGGAAGAACTTGTTCAATCTGCATTTGTATAAACTTTTATCATTCCGTGTTCACCTTTCTTAAAGAATAAGTCCCTACCATAGTATTTTTTAAATACCTTAAAATTATTAGTGTTGGTGCTCAAGATCCAATCTTGATTGGATGGTTTGAATTATTGTAACATTGCATTATTTATATTATTAATAATAAAGAAAGTCTTTCTATTAATTCTTATCGTTTATATTTATTTATTAAATAGAATTAGATAGAAGTCTATACGATAGACATTTGCATTAAGGATTGATCGAAAGATATGAGACAAACATTAATACACTTAAATGATATCATTAAATGTTTTAAGTGGTAGCATTGTCAAGAATGAACATTGACTATATACGGTTAGACTTGTAAGTCCTATGCTCATACTATAAGATAGTAGTAGGAGATCTCACACACATTGGCATAGTAATGCCAAAGCAAGCACTTAGGTGATTAATGTTAAAGAACATATCACTAGACTTGACTCGTCATAAGAACCCATTTGATTTAGTCTATGGTAATCTCGTAAGGTTTAGTCTATGGGAATCTCATACGAGATGGGTACAACTAGTCATTTGACTTGAAGTCATCATGATTATCTCATTAAAGGATTTATGTACTTTGATACTTGTTTCGAAGGATCCGGTAAAGGATTGTACGTGGGCGATTCATTAGGTGCACGACGAATCTAATGGAGATAGGTGGATGACTAAGATAAGACATGTCATTCTTTGTATACTAAAGGAGTTATCACATTGCATTTCGATAAATATTTGCTCAAGAAATATGTGGCTACGGTAAGAGTACACCAATAGAGTATAGTTGATTTACTTTAAGAGCTAAGACATTTGGGAATCAAAGAAAACTTATGTGATCATAATTGAATAGACGAATAACCAAGTTTGAGATCACACTCGTGATAAATTGACATGAGAACTGAATTATATAGTAGCTATGCTCATGAAACGTAATTGCGGATTAATTAATCCTCTTAGAGAATTTGGTAATTATGACATCTTGCTAGATGCTAATCTTAATTTATGTATCAAGAGATAAAAGAGGTGTCTTTTATTTTAGATACATTGCCAACATATCTAGGAGCCTATTGAGTCACACTTATAAGTTTAAGCATTCACATAAAAGAAAGAGAAGCAAACAATTTGGAAAAAAGTTTTCAATTTTGAAAGATTCCTATTTTAAAAAAGTTTTTGAAAATGAAAAGTTTCCTAAAATGAAAAGTTTCATATTTTAGAAATCGAGTTTTCTAATTTGGAAGTCGGTTCCAAATTTAAAAGTAAATTACCTAAAAAAAAATAGTTTCCTAATTTAGCTTTAAAGGTAATTTGAGAAATTGTTTCCTAATGTGGACCTCCTAAAAATATCCGAACTAATTTATTTGGATAGTCCAAATTAATTAGTACTTAATTGGACCAAAAGAGTTTGGATCGATATGCTTAATTTAAAAACCTATAAGATATTTTGATAGGAGGATAAATATGAGTTATATTGGATAAGGCTCAAGGTTTACATAGATAAGGTAAAACAAAGCCCATATAAACCACATCTACTAAACCTATTAGAAGATGTTACTGCCACCTCCTAATATATAAAGGAGAGAGGTGACATCAATGATAAGAAGGAGAGAGTGATACACGATAAAAAGAAAAAAATAGAGAGAAAGAGTTTTTCTCCCCAAAAATTGGAGTTGTCGCATTCTTTCTTAAAAGGCCTTGAGTTGTCGCATAAAGTCCAAATTTGATTTCTAGAGTAAAAATAAATATACAAAAGGATTGGAGCTAGCCCTATGTGAATTTTGTGGCTTCCTTTGTGGATGTTTAAGTCTGCGTGGATTATCAATAGAGATCGGATATTTAGACGAGTTCTTTTTTTGGAAAGGTTAAATTCTACGCTACAAGAGATAATCCTTAACTTATGCTTTAATCATGTATATATGATTAGTTGATTCAACAGACTTGATCTTAGAAGCCTTAGATGGAAGTAATTTTTTATTTTTTATTTTGTACCTCCATAGAATGCATGATCCTTCAATTTGTATCAAAGCCTCCGTTGAATCTTTAACGGTATGCTTTGTTAATTGTAATTAAGCTGTATGAATTATCTATTCATGATTATAAATATGATTTTTTGGTATTTTATATATGCCTTTTAAACTGATTTTTTGGTTTTAAAAGGGAAGGGCACGCAAGGCCAATATTAGACATTGGTGCTCATGCACGTAGCAAGGAGGTTGACAATCGCGCGCCGGGCACGCGAAAGGCATGGTTGTTCTTGTGTTGGGCACGCAACATGCTAGACACCTGGCTAGGATAGCGCATGATAGGCCATGCCTCTTGGCAAGCCAATTGCATGCTTGGAATGCGATAAGCCGAGCTAGTCGCGTGCTAGGCACGTGATAGGGTATGCCTCGCGTATGCCACGCCCGTTAGCCAAAGCTAGTTATGCGGCTGGACGCAAGACATGGAAGGCGTCCATTGGGTATGCACTAGGGCAAGATATGCCTAGTGCATGTCAACCATGAGTAGGGCTCGTGAAGGGCGAGGCCTGCAATAGGCTAGGCATGCACACGTACCAAGTATCAAGTCGGGTGTGCACGAACGCCCAGTGCTAGTGATTATTAGTAGGCTAGGTGCACGCAAATGCGTCAAGCCAATGGCCATTAGTAGGCTAGGTACACGCAATGTGCCGGGCTTAAGGCCGGAGGAGACAATGCACGTGTAAGCATGCTAGGCCGGTGACTTAGGCGTGGTAGCCCATGGGTCCTCGAGGCCCAAAAGCCCTTGGGCCCAAAGCCCGAGGGCTACGAGATGTAATCTTTAACTTATGCTTTAATTCATATATGTATGATTAGTTGATTCAACAACTTGTTATTAGGAGCCTTAGATGGAGGTAAAATTTTTATTTTATTTCGTACCTCCATAGAATGCATGATCATTTAATTAGTATCAAAGTCTTCATTGAATATTTAATAATATGATTTATTAATTATGATTAACTGTAAAATTATTTATTCGTGATTATAAATATGATGTTTTGGTATTTTATATATGCCTTTTAAATTGATTTTTTGGTTTTAAAAGTGAGAGGTGCATAAGGCCAACATTAGACATTGGTGCTCATGCACATAGCAAGGAGGCTAGCCGATCGAACGTTTGGAAGTGTGAAAGGTATGGCTATTTACGTGTTGGGCACGCGACAAGCTAGACACTCGGCTAGGCTAGCTCACGATAGGCTAGGCCTCTTGGTAGGCCAATCACTTGCTTGGTACACGACGGAGCCAAGCCAATCACGTGCTTGGGCACGTGACGGGGCATGCCTCGTGTATGCCGATCCTGTTGGCTAAGACCGGTCGTGCGTTGGACACATGATATAGAAGGTATGCGATGGGCGCGCGCCGGGCCAAGATATTCTTAGTGCATGTCAAGCATGCGTAAAGTACGTGTAGGGGCGAGGCTTACGGTAGGCTAGGCACGCATGCATACATGGTGTCGAGCCGAGGCTTACATGAGCGTGCCGGGTTAATGATTATTAGTAGGCCAAGTGCAAGTAAGTGCGCTAGGCCAATGACCATTGTTAGGCCGAGTGCATGTAGTGTACTAGGCCTAAGGTTGGCACGAGATAAGACGTGTATAAGCATGCCGAGTCGGTGACTTAGGCATGGTAGCATAAATACATTCTCTATAATTTTATTGTATTTCTCTTCTCATCTTACTCCCCTCAAATGTAACTTAAGGTTTCTTAT